CAGGGCCCGCCCTGACCTGGGACAGCATGGCCCCCCAACCTCTATTCCCACCCCTCCCCCCACATCCCCTACACAGCCAGGGCTCTAGTCACCTGGGAGTGCTTGTTAGCAGGTGGGTGAGGTGGGCTGGGGCACCAGTGGCACAGCTGCCACTTACTAGTTGTGTGATCTTGTGCTACTGTTCCTCGCCTCCATTAGAAAGTGAAATCATGTGGAAAGACAATGTAGAAGAACATGTTGGAGAAATACCAGGGACCAAGTAAAGGAACTCTGGGAGCACCCAGTGCTAGAGGAGCCAAAATGACAACAGAGTTGGGGTCCTGCTTATAAGCTGTTGGGCCCTGGGCCTGTTACTTCCACAGGCTTCCTTTTTCTCAGTGTGACGTGGGGATAGAGAAGTAACTACTAACTTTGTAGCACTGTTGGAGAATTGAGAGTTCTTGCCTATGAGTCGTTGGAACAGTGCCTAGCACTTGGCAGGTACGGAGCAGTTAGCAGCAGCAGCACCAGCTCGGAGATCCAGCAGTTCAACAGGAGATGGAAGGCAGAGGTCAAAATTTTGACCTCACACCCGCAGTGATGCGATGCTCTTCCTTTTTCTCCTGAGTGTACTCCACCCCCATCGACACAGCCCTTTGCTTATCAGAAACCCACCCTTCTTGGGCCTCGTGGGCTTACTCTCTCCTCCATGAAGCTTTTCAGTCCCCACTTGGAAACACAGTTGATCACATGCCACCTTACAGGCAGGACAAGACAGCCACCTCCCTGTACTTCACTTCCTTGTCAATTAGTCCATCTTTGATTAAGTGTGCTCCTTGTAGAAGGCTTACTGTCATTACCGTTTTATCCAGGAAAACTTGATGCCTTGTATATAGGGTTTTACTGCTTGAGGATGCTAATCGGATGCAACTGAAAAATAAATGATATCTCTGAGATTTGAACATGTTTCTTGTTCTCTGTGATGGAGCTAAGCCGCTAAACTTAATCCGTCATGATGATAACAGCTCTTTTCCTCCCAGAGCTGATGAAGGGAAAAGCCAGTAATTTCTCAAGTGTGATAGATGTCCACCCTCTCACCTGGTGTTTTATAAATATATTGTCTTAACTGTCTTTTTAAGTATCTCTGCCTGGGAGGGTAGCTTCCTCTGTTTTATGAAATGCCAAGTGATACCACTGTGATATATAAATAATGATAATTAGACGACAGCTTCAAATTATTTGACATCCAGATTGAAGGGAAAAGTGGTACTTCTTCCCACCCCCCCATAATACCCTAGAATTTAGATCAGAAATGGCATTCAGGAAAGCGTATTACTTCCTGTCAGACATGGATGGCTCAAAGCTTCTTATATGTGAAGTATAGAACAGGCGCATGCCAAAGCACATTGGGACATCAGATCTGGGCCAGGCCGTAAGGACTCTCCATCCTTTGTTTGAAAATAACAGAAATAGACGAGGAGCCAAAGAAGAGGGAAATTATTTTTATCTGAAAGTCCACATAAAGTATTTAATGTCATTAAATGACTTCACTTCCCAACCTCTGGCCTGTTTTCACAAATGTCAAGAACCATGGTTTCCAGAAGTTGGTTCCTCCTGATTTGGTCTGCTTTAATATCGCCTCTTAAATTTTCAAGGAATTCTTCCTTTGTTGTGGCTCCTGGTGGGTGAATGTGAGACTGTTTGTTCACTTACTTGAAGGAACAGAAGATTAACAATCAGAAAGGCAGGGTTTGATTTCCAGCCTTACCGCTTAATAGCTGTATGGCCTTGGGCAACTATCTAACCTTCATTTTATTTCCTCCCTTATAAAATAGGAGTAATTTTATCACAACATCCTGGATGTACATACTATACTAATTTACATCCATGTGCAAGTCATCATTCTAAATAACTTACTGTCAGCATACCATTTAATAGATAAGGAAACCCGGGCCCAGAAAGGTTAAGTAATTCACCTCTAGTCACACAGCAAATAAGCGATGTGCACAAGGAACAGGGTAAGATTAGCCTCCGATCCAGAACTTGTTGAAGGTAAGCTTTGAGTAGGGCACCAGTGTTGACTGTTGTGGAGATGACCCAGCAGCCCTCCCCAGGGTGGGAGGAAGTGAGGGCAAGGGGGCAGGCTGCAGTGTCCCCCTTCAAGTGCCCTTGGTTTCTCTGCCCCCTTCCTTCTCTGCCCTCACATATCCCTGATCTTTTATTTTCCTTCAGTCTCTTTCAAATCCATTTCCTTCCCTTTCTACTGAACCAGCTCTCCTCCGAACTCACCTCGTTTGTATCTCCGCTTTTGTTATGACACTGGTATTTGTATCCCCATTACCACTCACTCATCCATCTCCCATTGGTGTGGCAATAGCTCTCGGTCTTCTGGCTCTAGTAATTCCTTGTTGGATCTGTTCTCATCTGTGCCGGTCTGCCTTTGTAGTAGAACTTCTCAGTTCAGAAACCTGCACCTCCTCACTGTATGTCAAAGTGAGGGCCACACACTTTAATCACTGGGGTCTTGCGATGCTGTGGGTTGTGACAGATAACCAACTGCAACAGTGTAAGAAAAAAGGCAAACACAGAGGGTGAGTCTCTTCCTTCAGGCAGAGCTGAATCCAGGGGTTTGGGCCATATTTTCAGAGTTCATTTTGAAGTATGTGAGAGCCCCCCCAGCAGCTCAGGGCTCCCATCTTACCGAAAGAACTCCTCAGCAGAAAGATGATCTCTATCCTGATGCGTCTGACGTGGCCAGCCTGCCCATCAAGAGTCACTGTGGCCTCGGCTTGGGCCCAGTGAGCTAGGTGTGAGCCACAGGCACCCGTACTGCTTCCTCTTCACACCCCCTCCATCTGGTTCTCTCAAGTGTTCTCAGCCCTCCTCCTGTGTGGAGGTCATTCACTCCCCGTCTGCCGGATGTGCTTGCTCGATGCTTTAACAACTCTGCCTTGGCTTACGCTGGCTTCCCTTGATGTTCTTTCCTGCCATCTCTGTTTATCAGAATCATCCCAATTTCCCAAGACCCAGCTATAATGTTTTCTACAAAGCCTTTCCTTTTCCCGAAACTGGTGAAAGGCATTTCTTGCTTTTCTGTGTAGCATGCAGACGGTTATTACTTAACTGCCTTTTGCTGTTTCTCATTCCCATCTTCGTCAGTGCTAGCGCTTTCTTCATTGCCCATACCTTTCTAAGGTCTTCATGTGCACAGAGCGTTTGGACACTGATTTGTCTAATGGAAAAGCCCATAGAGGAAGCAGGCAAGATACCTTTACCCTCTTTTTGCAACTCAGCATTGCTTGAACACCAGCTGTGCACCAAGGCTAGGTGTTGACGTGAAAGATATTTTAAGGTGGCATCCAGATGCTTTATTCGGATTTTACAAATGAGGAAATTGAAGCCTAGTAAATAAGTGGCCAGGTGTCCCACTAACCATTGTTTTTAGCTTCCGGAACATGCAAGCTCTTTGCTACCTCTGCACCTTTTCAAATGTATTCCTTCTGCCTGGAATATTCTTTCCACTCTCACGTCTCCTAACCCTACCCCTCTTTCAGGGTCTAATTAAAATGTCATTTTTTAAGGGAGGTTCTCTTGACCATCCTCCACCCCATCCCTTATCCTCCCGTTTAAAACAGGTCTGCTCGGGCGCCTGGGTGGCTCAGTGAGTTAAAGCCTCTGCCTTCTGCTCAGGTCATGATTCCAGGGTCCTGGGATCGAGCCGGGTGTCGGGCTGTCTGCTCAGCAGGGAGCCTGCTTCCCTTCTTCTCTCTCTGCCTGCCTCTTTGCCTATTTGTGATCTCTATCTGTCAAATAAATAAATCTTTAAAAAAAATAAAAATTAGAAAAAATAAAACAGGTCTGCTATTCTGTCTTCTGGTACTTCTAGTTTTCTTCATAGTGGTAATCACAAGTATGTAATTATTTCACTTTTATAAATGGATTGTCTCCCCACTAGACTGTGTACCCAGTGAGGACAGGGACAGTGACATCTTTGTTACCTCTTAGGCAGCCAGTGTCTGACACCAGAGGCACTCAAGAAATAATGTGTTGAATGAACAAGTGCAAATATCAGCCATTCTTGCAGCTCAGCAAATGCCAGAGCAATGTTAGAACCAGACCGCCTGAAGCCCAGGTCAGCATAACCCCAACTCTTACTACGTCCTACACTGTGCCCACAAGCAACGTCCCCTACTCAGTTAGTGTAGTTAGAACTCTAGTTCTTTGTATGGGTTCCAAGGACATTAGCACTGTTTGATGTGTGGGTATTTAGGTTATGGAGGGTGGGTATGTGTTTGGATGGGTGGACAGAAGGGATTAGAAACAGAGGGACTTGCAAACAAGGCGCTGGGATGACCCACTGAGGGAGATCAGAAGACGGGGATCAGTGTGTGGAGGCCTGGGGAAAATGAGGCTCACATAGTAAGTACCTGCGCTGCTGTAAAGGTCCTAGAAGGCAGTTAGTGGTTCTTTACTTGAGCTAAGATACAGAACTTTAACTCGTACCCTGGTTAAGATCTAAAAATAACACCCTATTCTGAGTTCTTGGAATAAACCTTCCATTTTGGTGAGTCTGGAAGAGTTTTTGTTTTTATATTCCTATCACATTATATTGGAACACTTTCATTATACATGAAGGCAACTTTTATTCTTACACCAGAGTGAGCAGCCTGTTACTATAGCAATATTGAAATTATTTATATACAGTGTCTTCTACACACTCCTTGCAAACTGTACATAATGGTTAGGAGAAATGGGCTATGATATCCAAAATTGTTTTCTCTCTTATTTCCTTTGTTAAACTTCTGTAAACTTTGTTATAACTTGATTTTTAAAAATCTGAACCTCTTATTTTTAGGAAAGATTAATTTAGGGGAGTTACAAATATATCCCACCTATCAAACATTGAAAATAGCTCTGAGTTAACTTCAGTTTTGCTGTGAGCACCATACAGATACAACTGCTTCTTGAGATCTTTTTCAGATAAAGGGGTGGAATCATAGATGCCCTCTGTGTGTTTGCAGGGCCTGGACAGCTTCAAAGTAAAAGAGAAATTCTTCTCAGGGAGCAAGGAGCCAGTGGCCGCCTTTCCTGTGCCATTTGACCTGCCTCCAGAACTGTATGGAAGTAAAGGTAGGACACACATGAAGGGAGATCATGGGTGTTATGTATGGAACAGAAGCCGTGCCCAGAAGAAGCCGTCAGTCTCTCAGTGGGAGGTTGGCTCACAGAATACTTCAGAAATGCAGGTTTGCAGAGGCCCCTTCGCTGCCCTGTCTCGGGCCACTAGAGCTCTCATTCTCAAACTGGTTGGTCCAGGAGCCCCTCTGAACTCTTAACATTATTAAGGACCACAGGAGCTTTTACTCACATGGGTTTTTGTATCTGTTGAGATTTACTATATTAGACCTCAAAACCAAGAATTTTTTATATTAGTTTTTAAAGTAATAAACCTATATATATATATGCACACACATATACACACACATATACAAACACACACATATATATGTTACGTATGTATGTATGTATGTATGTACATACATGTGCGTGTGTGTGTGTGTATACACATATTTGGTGTTTTTTTATTGTCAAAAAATGTGAGGAAGGTGGCATTATTTACAATTTTTGCAGGCAGACCTCTTTACTCTCTGGGTTAATGAAGGACCACTGAATTCTCACAGCTGCTCTGTTGCAGTATCACGTCACAAGCCTCTATACATTCACAAGAAGTGAAGATGACAAATAATGGCTTAATATTTTGATGAAAACAATTTGACTTTACAAACACCTCCCATCCTCTTAAAGGGGAGATCCCCGGGCTGCCCTCAACTATGACTTTCTTAGAGGCAGTGAACAAGTATTTTTCATAATAGAAAGTCATTAAAACATTGGTTCAGGTTCATGGTGTTCTTGGAGGAAAGCTGGCTGGCATGAGTGGGACCAGCTCCATCTCAGGTCTGTCCCAGCCCCACAGCTGCACTTGTCTTAGCCCTAGAATGTCGGTCTTTAAAGCAAATTCGTACTTACCAGACTCACACAGCAGCAGTTGTAAAATCAAGACATACTTATTAATTTAAAATGGCAAAAGGTATATTATAATCAGCATATTTTCCAGTGGAAGGCAGATGCCTTCACAGATAGCCGGATTATAGTCAATGGTGTTTGAGTAAATTCTGAATTTGAACAGGGAAAATGTGATTTTTGTTTGGAAAGTTTTAATGACATCATTGCATTAATATTCCCGAATCTCTGGTTCCTTAACAGAGCCAACTGTGGCACTGGGTCCCTTTCTTCCCTGGGCGGTGCTAGATGGGCTCCAGCTACTCCCCCACCCTTACTTGCCCTTCCTGGTTTTGGTGGCAAACCAGACCTTCCCCTTTCAGTGGACCTGTTTCTTCGATGGTGTTGACTTTGTTGGATGTATCCATATAGTCTCATGCTGCCTGGTGTGCCGCCGCCTATGGCAGGGGACTTTCTAGAGCTATAATCAGTTGTATTGGTAACAAGTTTAAGAAGTGTTCTTTTTTCCTTCTTTCCAAGCTATGTATATTTGAGTCCTCTAAATTTGTATATTTATGCATCTTCATTTTTAACTGGCAAGATTATATCAGTTTTCTCAGAATTTCAGAGAATCGGTGCCCCCCCACAACCCTCCCTGCACATACAAATGAAAAAGAGGGCTTTAGAATTAGGTTGTATTTGTGTGCCAACCTTGCAACTTATTAAGTGACCTTGGGCACTTATTTTCTTTCTTTAGGCCTTAGTGTCTCTATTTGTAAAATGGGAAAATAAGAGTGCCTACTTTGTAGAGTTTGTTGAAACGAGTAACCAGGATGCTATCTGTAAAGCACCTAACACAGTCTTCTAGTGCAGAGTTAGCAGTCAATAAACGTTAGCTGTTGTTTCTGTTATTTAGAATATCCAGTTCAGTTCCTGGCGTGTAATAATCGGTGTTCATTTTCTCCCCTTCCCCTTGCTGAGCTGATAATGAAAAGAGCCTAAGGCCCATGTAGGACAGTCCCTCAACCCACCTACTGTCACAGGACCTCACGGCGAAAACCTCTCCTTCCTCCTTCCAGCTTTGTGCTGTAGTTTTGTTTTTACTCTTTCTGTCTGTTCATGTTCTTTTTTTTCCCCCCATCCTCAAACCTGAGTTCTGAGTAAGCTTAGTGGAGGTAGGGGACAGACGCACCATGAACTGACTGAGTTTGACTTCCTGTGGTCTGGCCTTGGGCTATATACTTTCCACCCCCAGCCCAGAACCTTGGCTGGAATTCCACCTTCTCCACTTAACCGTAATCTCCAAAGGACTTTGCAAGCAAAAATGAAAGAGACATAGGAGCCTTAAAAATATCCTGATGTTCCTTCAGTTCTGATAGAAAAAGCATTCCCAGGAATTTAAAAGTTTACAGCGGGGTAGTATCTTAGACTGTGCAGTGATGAATCTTTTATTTGGCCAGCAAGCAGAATGTTTTCCATTGTTCAGCGGCGTTGTCTGGGTGTATACACTTCTTTGAAACATACATACAAGGGAGACTGGAGCATTGTATTTTATTTCTACACTGCTTCAGTAGCATGCAAAATGGTGCCAGTCACTCAGTTATCACCAGTTCACATGTCGCCAGCATTCCGGCGACTCCTACGGACTAGAAGAAAGGTGTCTTGCTAAGACTTGGAAAAGTGAGTAGTTAAGAACATTTCAAAAGCACTTTGTTTGGAAATGATTTTCAAACCACTGTAACATGTATAAGATCATGCTCGTTATTTTTTTTTTTAATCTGAGGAACTCTACAGAAAGCTTAGCAAAGAAATATACTGCTCTGAACCAATTATAGTTTATTACAAGACACCGGCAGACATCCTGAAACCAAGAAACTGATCAAATAATGAAGTAAAACACACACAGCTGCAGGTCCACCTTGCTTTACGCAGGACTTGCTGCTCATCTGCTCTCTCCACAGGTGTATTTCTGCTGTGTGCAGACACTGTCTAGGTCCTTGGAATATGTCCTTGGACAAGACAGACACAAGCCCCTGGCCTGAGGGAGTCTAAATTACTCTTCCCCTGAGAAGTTATGCCTAACCAAACTCATGTGACTAATAGCAGTTGTACTTTTAAAGGAAATCTTTCAGATCCTTTTGTGGTTCATAAGTGTGATGATTGGATGTTCACACCAATGTGTGACACGTGCCTCCCTCAAACCTTGTTATGACCTCGGCACATTAACTATCTCATGTGAGGGAAAAAAATCTTTTATAAAGCAGAATCACCACATTTTAAATCTTACTTCCGTATGTTCCACTTGTTGTGTGACCCTGAGCCTGAAAAGAATGAAATAGACCAGTATGTGATCTCTCTGGAGCTGTTACATGCCAGAGACATCTGCTTTGTACTCCCTTTTTGGCTTATATTCTTTGTATTCTCTGATATACTATAAAGCGGGTAAAACAAGGTAAGGTTACGTAAAGCTTATCTTATTTGGACTTAAAGAATAAGTTACATATGTCAAATTTAAGAATAATTAAAGTACAAAGCTTCAGAGACCATAGTTATGTTAAGTGACCTGGGTTGTTCACGTGGTATATGGGAACAGTTGGCCCTTGCACAATGCCGGGGCTGGGGGCAGTGACCACCAGTGCAACTGAAGATCTGCATGTAACTTTTCACTCCCCCAAAACTTAACTACTAACAGCCTACTGTTGACAGAAGCCTCACTGATAACCTAAATAGTTAACACATATTTTGTATGTGATATGTATTATATACTTTATTCCTATAATAAAGTAAGCTAGAGAAAAGAAAACATTATTTTAATGAAAGTTATAAGGCAGAGAAAATACACTTAAGTATTGTATGTATTTTATTGGGGGAAAAGCCCACATGTGAGTGGACCTTTGCAGTTAAACCCATGTTGTTCGGGTCAACTATAGTATTCTTTTCTTTGAAATTTTTAACATAATATCAAATTTAGAAAAATGTTCTAGGAACCGTATAAAGAACTCCCATATTCTCTTCACCCAGGTTCCCCTTCACTTACATAATCTTCCTTTCTTATGTTAACTTTTTTCTGATCCATTTGGAAGTTGTAAACAAGATCTGTGCAATCTCGAAATACTTCAAAATATATTTCTTAAAAATGTTCTCTTACATAGCCACAGTACAGTTACCAAAATCAGGAATTAACATTGATTGAATACTATCATCTACAGAACTTACTCAGATTTCATCTGTTGCCCCAATAATGACCTTTATAACAAAAGGGAAGTTTCAGGTTACATGTCATATTTGTTTAGCAGTCTCTTTAGTCTCCATTAATTTGGAAAAGTGCCACAAGAAATTTTGTGTGTTTTATGATGCTGACACTTTGCTGAGCACAGGCCAGTTAGTTTAATAGACAGTGAGTGACATTGTGTATTTGGTTTTCCCATTGTTTTCTCATAAATAGATCCAGATTATGCACTTTTGCCAAGAACACCACAGAAGAGATGTTGTTGTTGTTAGTGTGTCGTATGAGGAGTCACATGATAAAATCAGCCTGATCACTGATGAAATCAGTATTGATCAGTTGGTTAAGGTGGTATCTGCCACATTGTGTGTATCTTTTACAGATTTGGTATATTTTAGAATTTAAGTTTTAATGTCTAGAACTAAGCTAATTAGCTGTATATGTAATTGCTCAGTAGGTGAGGTCATTGAAACCTGGCTGGCACACGAGATACACGTGATCTAGATTTAGCATATATGTAGTGTATATAATTCTTTAAAGTTCTTTAAAGCATGGGCTCCCAGATAATTTAACCATTCCGCCTGCTGCTTGATTCATTTGAAATAATTCCTTGAATTTAGGTAATATCATAATAAACTTCAGTCTAGACCTGTCAGAATTATTGCTAAATAGCAGAGACCAGATTCATAAAGTATTTTTGTAAGGACAATAGCTGATTCAACTTTCTAATTCAAAGAAAATGCAAAAGAAGTCAGTCACTTAAATCATTGTTGATATGCTTAATTTCCAAGGACCAGTTTTTGAACGATCTTTAGAAATCTGGATTTTTTTTTTATGAGAACCAGAAGAGGTTTTTAGACATGATTTTGATCATCTCCTTTAATAAAATCTATTATTGTTTCATAGTACAAATAGAAGGCTGACACCAAACTTCCAGCTTAGCTTTTAAAATTACTTTGTCAACAGAAACCTTTAGGAAATCTAGAACTATCAAAGTAAAGTAATTTTACCAGATGATATTGAAATCAGTACTTGGTTTCTAGCCATTTGAATTATTCTTCCTCCCACTGGGTAGATTGTTCTCTTGTGCTTTTTTTAGTCACAGATTAATACGGGAGATCTTCACAGAGGAGAGTATTAATGGGCTTCAGATAACACTGGTATCCCAGTTACCAAAGATTGCTTCTCTGCTAGGTTGGTAACCCAGTGTAAAATATTTTGAAGCTTTCCTTTGTAGTGCAAGCTGGCAAGTCTTTTGTACATTTGTTGATTTCAGAGTAAGCTGAAGTAAAGTGGCATCACTTAGATGAACTAAGGAGAAGTTCATCTCTTTGGGATCACACACACGTGCCATATACACACACTTTGTGTCTGATACAAGGAAAGAATTAAAGGCAATTGCTCAGGTGATAGGCAGCGACTTCTATAGGTAGGTAGGATATCAAGTTCCCTTGAAGACAGTGGGAAGTGTGGGTATGGGTGTTTGGACACAGGGGTCCAAGTCCTAACTCTAACACAAGGGCCATTTCTTAGAGGATGAGAGGCTAGGTAGAATGGGATATTGTACTTGGGTTTGTCTGGCTCCTAAAAAAACCTGGGAGACCTACACAGCATATAGGGTAGTGACAGTACTCACCCACTGTGAGCTGAGGGCGGTGGTCATTATATTATAGCAGCTCGCACTCATTAAGTACTTATTACATGCTAGGAGCTGCTTTGAGCACTTGACTTGAATTTATGGGATCCTAACTGCCCCCATGACACCAGTACTAATATAACCCCTACTTTATAGACAAGGAACCTAAGCTCTCAGGTCAATTTGGTCAGGTCCCCATGGGTAGCCTGTCCACCATGTCCATGCCCCCTTTACCATCACACTGTGCCACCTCCCCACAGAAGGCTGGGTTCTAGAGTTAGAGATGTCAGATGCACGCAGTCCTCAACTGACCAACCACGAGGACAGATGGCATAGACACAGAGTAAAACCCCTCGGCTGTTCCCTCATCCCCAGCCTTCCTGCCGTGGCCTTAATGTTGGCCTCACTGTGTCTCCCCTAGATGGCACTGCCTATCATCTCCCCATTGTTGGTCCCCTCCCACTGGACATCATCTCCCCTGCTGCCATACGCCTCACATCACATCCTGGTTTAAATCTTTCCATTGTATCACAGCAGAAAGAAGCTCATCCCATTTAGTTTCTGATCTCGGACTCTGACTGTGTTAAAATCGCCGTTAGAACTTGGTGAGAATGTGTAATACCAGGCCCCAGCCCAGACCGACTGAAACAAGCTCCCTTGAGGTGAGCTCTGAGGAAACGCTCCGGCAATTCGCATGTCAGCCAGGTGCGGGAACCACCACGCTGACGTGGTGAAGTTCAGAATTCCGCCCGCATGGCCTGCCTGCTCCTCTGTCTACCCTCTTGGACCGCAAACTGAGAGAACCTCAGCTTTGGCTAGCAGAGCTCCTGGCATCTAACCAGCACCGACAAATATTTTAGATACATGCAGGACTGTTTCATGAGGCAAGCTTTTCTTTCATGGGATAATTTAGGAAGATTGCTTAGAACAGGCTTTCATCTAAGCCAGAAAGTGTTAATGCTGACTTCCAGTAATGGTAGCAAGACAACAGAGTCAGGGCCACCTCCTACCTTCCTGTTAGCCCTTCTGTGTCTCTGCCCCCAGGGTAGTGGTGAGCCTTGCAGCCGGCGTGGCACATGATCAGCCCGTGGGTACAGGCATTTGCTCACTTAGCGAGCAGTGTGTCTAGGGACTCGCCAGTGCCGCTTGGTCATCGTTGGCTGATTGTGAGGGAGAGGAAGAAATCGGTGGCGGTCTCTGAGTTGCTGGCTGGCTGGCGGGTGTTTGCATCACGAACCCTGCCTCGGTGAAGAATCTAACAGCTCCTCACCTAGCAAGGATCGGGTGTCCTTTACCTTGGGGATGAAGTGGAGCAGATGTTACCCAGTGGGGCAGTTTGCAGGAAAAGATGGGAGAAGTCCGGCCACAGAAGACCGTGTTCCCGGGGCAGGAGAGCCAGTGCTCGGTTCAGGCCAGTGGGAGGCGGTGGGGAGTCTCCAGTGCTGCGGAACCTTCAGCCTTTTATGAAGCAAGCGTGTCGCACAGGCGCAGGATTATGGCTCTCTCACGGGCTTAACAAGCTAGCTTCAGGCTTTCACACCATCTCGAGGCCAAAGACAAGAAAACGGGCTTCTGCTAACTTGTTGCCATCTTTAGCCTTCTTTCCCTGCGCGTCCTGCTGGGTGCTGCTGTCTGCATGCTTGTGTGGCCGTTATTCCACACCAGGGACGGTGAGGAGAGCCTCCTGTTGTTTGCCAGGTCATCCTCTGAGCTGCCATCTGCCTCTGTTCGGGAAGAGGAGGAAGCTTCCCCGAGAGCGGCTTAGCAGTGCTGGGCAGTGGCTCCCGCTGATGGTACCTCTCACACCCGTGCTGCGTGGCTGCCTCACTCCGGGCACTCACCCCTTCAGAGCTGTTGGAGCTCTCCTCCTTATCAGGACAGTTACATGGAGCTCGATTCCTAACCCTGGGAGTGTATTTACACCCTACCCATACTGTTGTTCTTTTGAATTGGTTTGATTCCAGCAGTAATGATGCATGGTAAAAGTGATCAGAGTTTGTCAATTTCTGAAACCCCAGTTAAAAGGGGCTGGGGGGGAAGTTCGTGTTTATTGAGCACCTACAGTATGCCGGGAACTTCCACAGGTGTTCTCGTTTATGTTTCACAGCCCTCCTGAGAGGTTACTTACGTAGCTAATTCCCATTTCACAGCTGAGGAACCTGAGTCCAAGATCCCAGTGTTTTCCCGAGTTTGCAGAGAAAGACAAGGGCAGGACCTGAACCTAGGTCTTCAGTGTTCTCTCCGTTGTGTCTTACCAAGGCGTGTTGCTTGCTTCACCATCGGTCTGCAGTCATTGTACAGAGACCTTCATGCCTCATCAATTATTAGCCTTAAGGAACAGAACAAAACCATTTCATGGAGGTGAACGCGGGCCTCCTGATTATATGTGACCGTGACAGCGGAGAGCAGTATGCCGTCTGCTACCGTTGGTTTCTCCAGAGTTGTAAGACGTAACAGCTGCCTTTCTCTGCCGGATGCCCTCAGACACTGCATGTGTTTATCTCACTTGCCCGTCCTGACAGCGCCAAAGTCAGGTACACAGAAGGAAACTGAGGCTGACAGGCACAGTGACTGGTCAGTGTAAGTGGCAACCCTGATTTCTGCTGGCCGGCTTCCACTGTTGACTTGCCTGTGTCTTAGCACAAACCTTTGCCAACAGCCACTGTCTGAAATGGGCTGTCGTCTGGGGTTGCTTCAGGGAAGGTTCTTAAGGGGGTGCCTGGGTGGCACAGTTGGTTAAGTGTCCGAATCTTCGTTTTGGCTCAGGTTGTGATCTCAGGGTTGGGAGATTGAGCCCCACTTTGGGCTCTGGGATCAGCACAGAGTCAGCTTGAGATTCATTCTCCTCCCTTCTCCACCCCCACACGTGCTCACACGCGCACACGCACTCATAAATCTTTCCGAAGAGGGGAGGGGTTCTTAACGTGTAGACTCTGACACGTGGGTGGTTTTATCCTAGTGGTAAGTGAATTTTTTTGTAATCCTGCCTGTTCAAATTAGTATTCTACAACTATAATGTGTTTTGTTTTTCTCCCCAGATCGGCCGTGGATTTGGAACATTCCTTATACCAAAGCACCAGATACACATGGGAATATGTGGGTTCCCTCCTGAGAATCCTAAAGCATTATGAAATTTAGGTGCAAGACATCAAGCCCCAAATAATGAATGTTCTTGTTGGTGCTGGATGTTTACCCTTCGAGTCTTGTCTACACCCTTAACAAAACTGCAGAGCTCACTCTTGTGAGCACGATGCTGGTTACACTTTAGATAGTCATTAGCAGTGTCCCTTAATTCACTTTTTAAGCTTCGGACTGAAAGCTATCAAACTCGCCAATGTTGAATATAGACACAAAGTCACCCTCAAAGTGATACATGGAATTTCACGGCGGTGTTCGCGCTTCCGAAGTGAAGATGGACTATGTGTGTCGTACTGCGTCCGTCCCGGTCTTCAGCCAAGCAGGGGAAGAATGTGACCGTTTGCTTATCACCCGGCCGTCCGCTTTCTGAGTGTTGTCTCGGGGCTGCTGGCCAAGAGGCTGCCCATGTTCCTAGCCTGTCGCTCAGGTCAGGTGGCTACTCTTCTGACACACGGAGTCCTGCTACCTCCCACCGTCCTGCAGCTTCACGAGGCTTTGCATCCTGGCACCGTGCGAGCTGCCTCTCTGCTTACACACGGGTCCTGCCATTTCCTCGCCCGTCCCCAGAGCGGATGGGTGTCTTTCATCCCCGCAAGTTTCCAGAAGAGACAGCTCACTGAACCATATAAAAGCACAAGTATGTTCCTTGCAAGAAATCCTGAAAGGTAACCTAAATTGGTGCCTTCAGCTTACAAGCAAGGAGACAGAAGCCCAGAAAGGCTCAGGATGTCCCCCACATCACAGCTGGTTTGGGTCCAAGCTGTGAATGTTTCCACTTTAAGTACATCTGTCCTTTGTACTTAGGAATCGCGTTCTCCTAGGACGATGGAGACCTTCTTTTCCACATGAGGCTGATACCCAGTTTGTCTGCAGCCTCTTTATCTTACAACTTTCAAGAGTTGTTGAATATTAATTTTGAAAGATTTCTGAAGATACCCTTTCAGACTGTTTCCCAGACCTACGATTTTCGCCTTAGGACCTGGCAGGGCGGAGCAGCGGTGCTGCCATAGAGAAGTCTGGGAATCCGGCTGCGGACCCTCTACTCTGCTGTCACTTCGCTTTACCTATTTTATATTTTGGGATTCTGTAAAGGATATTATCTGGGATTATGTGTGTATGTGTGCTCACGCTGCTTTAAAAAAAAAAAAAAGTTGAAAAGCCACCGAATTACTCCTCTTACCTGTATAGTGAACTGGTTATACTAAGGCTTGAACCTTTCAGGACCCCGCCTTTTACTTCCCAGAACGTGCAGACCCTCATCACATGAGCCGGGAAGGCATGGGAAGGCCCCCGGGGCTGACCCAGAGCGGGTGCCCTGCAGTCTGTGTGTCCATAGGCCTTGCAGGGGCCCCGAGATTCTCACCACCATGGTGGTCCCATCCTGGATGGGGGTGGGGCAGCACCACAGAGGTGTCTCGGTCAGCCGTGTCACCAGGACAGTGAGCAGGCCGCCTGGGCCCTGTGGGATGGGTTCAGCTACTCGAGAGGACAGCGGCAGCTTGACAGCGGTCACTGGTTGAGTCAGTCACACAGGTCCATTGCTCATCTGATCCAGGTCACTGCAGAGTGGGTCGGAGCTTGGAGTTTGAAATCCTCCTCTGCCACTTACGGCTGTGTGACCTAGACCAGGTTATTTAACTTCTCTGTGCCTTGGTCCCCTCAACTGTAAAATGGGAGTGGTGGTGGTAATACTCCTCACAGAGGATGATGGAGAGTGGTGAGTGAAGGCGTGAAGATACTCCGAGCCCGCACAGCGTGAGAACCGTCTGGTGATTGCTCCTGCTGCTGCCACAGGTGATCCATTAGGATTAGCCTCCTTTTCCTAATGAGACTGGGACTCAGAAAGGTGTAGCGCTTGCGCAGGGTCCTACTTCTAGAAAGTGCTCTCCCAGTATTTGAACTGGGTCTGGCAGGGTCCAAGGCCTGTTTTCTGCCAGGTGGCCCAACTCCCAGGCAGCATGGTATGTGGGGAGAGGGACGGTTTTTACCCCCCAGTGTGTTGTGGACAAACACATGTACAGAATCAGGTGCTTGGATGTTACAGGACTGTCAGATTACAGTGGAAGTTTCTAAATGCTTATCTTCTGTACTCCTCACAGACCAGCCCTGGTCTATGGGCTGTATTTCAAGTAATGTTCCTCTACACTTCATGGGGACCCAAAGGAGCCCCTCTGGAAACAGAAGTTCCAGAATGGGTGGCTAGGTACATCAAGATAACATTAGGCGAAGCCCATGGTTAAGGGTTATGCACTCAGTGGTTGTCCAGCTGTTAACATTAGCCTTCTGTGCCCTTCACCCTGGTTAGCATGGACTGGGGGAAGACAGGCCGGCATAGATAGGTGGTTCATAACATGAGCTTTCTGGGTATAGGTGATCACACACATGGAAAACAAGGCCCAAGAATAATCAACATGGGAACCCAAAAAGCAAGCGGTTCTGCCCCATCTGGTCCTTTTTAAAAATGGGACTAACTGAATTACCCAAAGTGCTACAAAAAAGCATCATCAAATGTGTCTGTTAATGTTTGAGGAAATTCCATTATTTTCAGGTTGGGGTTCAACAATTATTTCTCCCTGATTCAAGGAACACTCATCTCACCCCTGTTCTGCAGGTAGCTGCCTGCCACCTTTTATCCTCCCCCTCCCCACCTCCCCCTGCTTCAGATCCGGAAACACCAGCCAGTGACTGCATACCTGCTGAGAGCAAACATTCACATCAAAATTCAGCTTCTGCCCCTGCATGAAGTTCTAATAGAGGAGACTTGTTGGCTGATGAAGGAGGGTCTCAGCCTGCGGACAAAAGGAACCGCTGTCTTTCTGTGGAGTTCTCTCGTGCTCTTTTGAAAGCTTCCCTAATGTCCTCTTACAGAGATGGACATGTAGCCAGAAGTCTAAACAAGATCTTCATGCTAGATAATGAATTTCAACAGAATATTCTGAATGATCATTTAAAAATAAAATTTAAATTCTGTCCCTACACATAGCGACCTAAGTCACTTGCCATTTTGGCAGGAGGATTCTGTGTCCCCTCTACTTCCCACATACTGTCTTATGAAGAGGGGAATGGGTCTTCCACCAGCTGCTTTTGTGGGGGTGAAGGAGGGAAAGAGGGATTTTATTTATTTTTAAAGATTCATTTATTTTAGAGAGAAAGAGCGGGAGAGAAACAAGCAGACTCTGCCCTGAGCTCGGAGGCTGACGTGGGGCTTGATCTCAGGAGCCACAGATGAACCTGAACTGAGACCAAGAGGCAAGCACTTAACTGACTGCGCCCCCTAGGTACCTCTAAATGATCACAATCCTGACAATGGCTGCCTGGTTTTAACTATAGTTGATACAAATCGTCCTTAAAATTGGCTGATTCGGGAGGCTGTATTTTTCCCCATAAGGTAATAGCCCGTGTTTCCAGAGCTCTTCTGTGTCTCGACTCCTGTGCTTGAGTGCTTCACATGTAATCCTCAGCCTGCTGTTAAATAACATCCATAAGGTTCCACAGTAACAGTGGATCCCAGCTTTGTTTTCCTGGGCTCTTGTGCAGAAGTTAAATAGTTCTCCTTAATAGAAGTTACTGGTATGTGACTTCCAACACATGGTTTCTGCATCAGATTTGGTATGCTGAAAGTAAGGATCTTAGGTTCCATTTTGTCACAACTTTTTTCCACACAAAATTAGCTTACTTTCTAGGGAAATGACCTGTTTCCCATTGTAAAACCATTTCTGGATGATCTCAATGTTTGGTTCAAATCTTAGGACATTTTACTTTCTCATAATCGAAAAATCAGAGCTGTAACCACTTCCTTAAAAATACTTGCTTTTGACTGATGAATACCTCAAAGAAAAAGATAGGCATTCTTTATTTACATTCGTAAAATGTAATTGTATTGATGAATGGTACTCATTATGATGACAATAGTGCAGGAACTGAACAGCAGAAATAAAATAGCTTAAATATTACATAGGATTAAATCTAAAATTCTGTTGCTAATGCGCTAAATACATGCATGCGTGGGTCCCACTATAAAATTTTTGACAAGTTTTCCAAGTTTAGTAGCCCACTTTTTTTTTTTTAAGATTTTATTTATTTATTTGACAGAGATCACAGGTAGGCAGAGAGGCAGGCAGAGAGAGAGAGAAAGGGAAGCAGGCTCCCTGCCAAGCAGAGAGCCCGATGCGGGGCTCGATCCCAGGACTCTGAGATCATGACCTGAGCTGAAGGCAGAGGCTTTAACCCACTGAGCCACCCAGGCGCCCCTAGTAGCCCACTTTTTGTAAGCAATATCCAGGACAAAAAAGTACTATAAACAAAACTGCAATTTCTTATTGCATTTTTAGCAGCTATTAAGTTACAGGACTTAAGTTGCTCTTATAGGTCTTCAGGGGTAATATACAGTCATTTGCTCCTGGGAGATGCCAGCAGTGCCCACAGCCAGAACCCCACATGGGGACAGGTGACCGTCTCTGAGCCCAGACTCCACTGGGCCCCGAGTAAGAACACTGACCAGCGAGTACAGAGCACTTGGAGTGTGCCAGGTATTGCTCGTATTTTCGGTGTATTAACGAACCAAATTTTCACTATAATAACCCATTAATAACCTATTACCATAGCCATTTTACAGATGGGGAAACTAAGATTATTTGTCCAAAGTCCCACAGCTGGCAAGGGCAGAGCTGGGATTTGAGCCTAGGCCGTGCTGCTGTGAGGAACCAGGCAGCAAATGTGGCGCGTGTTTGTGGCGCACGTTCCCAAGCTCCAGCCCAGGAGCAGGCCTCACGTACAGGATGTATAACAGTAGCACAAAGTCAGGTACACCTTCATCCACTGCAACAGCAAATCCTAGTTGGCGTGACTGAACCAGCTGTGGGTCCATAAAATCAACCACTAAATGCGGCATTAGTATGCAGGCCTGAGTCACTGAACCTGACCGTGGAACTGGTTCCTTTCAAGTGAGAAAATCAACAGCTGAAGACATTGCCACGTTAAGTACGTTCTATGAACTTCTCTGACTGAAACCTGATGTTTCCACGGACTAGGCCTAAAGCAGACAGCAGAAGGGATTATGCCAAGTGTCAAAATGCTGGGGAG